GGGGGGGGGGGGGGGGAAGAGGAAGGTACGCATACCTTAGATTCATCAACCTTCGACATCAAAAGAGGGTCATTGACTCAGGGACAAAGGCCCGAAGGGTGAAGGCGTAAGTTTCCACCCAGGATGACGTGTAGACACCTGCCTCTGCAGCCCCCCTGGGGACACACTGGGTTAGGGGACTAGGACCCACCAGCAAACCCTCCTGCCAGGGCTACGAGCCCACAAAGGGCACACACGCCCAGGTCCTGCCAGACAAAGCCACGCACATCTTATGAGACCAAGTGGCCATGGACAGAAACCGACCTGGATGTGAGTTCAGGGGTCTGCTGCTTGAAGAGGGGTGGCCCTGTGCCACTGGAATATGGGTCCCAGAGCACCTCAGAAGAAAGGCCAGCCCTTGGAGACTGGATGGAGCAAGGCTCAGCTCTGCCACATGCGGCCCAACGTGACAGCTGGAGGCTAGAAGGAGGAACAGGTCGGGGGTACATCGTTTAATCCACAACATGCAGCCACGGCGGATTCTCCCAGGGCAGTGGCCTGGGCCACATCACGGATGGAACTGGCTGGACCTCCCGGTGTTTCTTTCCACTGTAGCTGGGGGGCTGGCTGTAGATGGGACCTTGGTGCCCAGAGAATCTCTGTGATGACATGAGTCAGCAGTTCTGCCCGGATGGGATCTCGTGTCCCTGCTACGAGTCCCGTGAGAGCCACGTGGTCCTTCCACCTCACGGCGTGGCCAGTGCGTGTGCTGGGCAGGGGAGCTGAACCTCTGGACAAGGTGAAGAGGAACCAAGGTCCTCACTCATTTTTAAGTGACAAATTGCCAGGCAGCATGTGGGAAGTGGGGTAGCGGTGGGGGCAGAGACCAGGATGTTCCGGTTTCTGCCACCAACAAAAAGAACTGCACCCAGTCTTTCTCAGAGCACATCCAGGCAGGCCGCTCCTAAGGGGCAAGGATGGAGACTCTTGGCCTCACGTACTTCCGACACGCTGTCAGGAGAGCCAGTCCCTGGAGAAGGACATTGTGCTCTGTAAAGTGAAGGGGCAGCGGAAGAGAGGAGGGCCCTCAGCGAGATGGGCTGGCACGGCGGCTGCGGCCATGGGGACAGGTGGCAGACACAGCAGAGATGGTGAGGCGGGTGCAGGACCAGGCTGCGAGTTTGGGCCGACTCCACAGCGCGTAACATTGGCAGAGACCGGCTCTGGTGGCTGTATTAGTCTAGGTACTTTAGAGAAACAAATCCACAGCCACTCAGTATAAGAGAGTTTTATGTGAAGAAAGTGTGCATCACGAAAACATCCCAATCCAATGCTGCCCAAGCCCACAAGTCCAACATGAACCCATTAACCCAACACCAGTCCACAAAGTCCTCCACCTCACAAAACAGAGGCAATGATGCCGACTGCAGGAGGAAAGCTGAGTCAGTGAACGGATAAACATCTCAGCGCTGGCAGGGGTCTCCACACGGCTGCTCCAGCACCCAGGGCTGCATCGGGATAGGTCCATGTAGCTTCTCCTTGGGGATGCCTTGTAGGAAGTCAATCTTGCAAGCTGAAGCAGGGAGCTGCTAAGGCAGCTGCACCCTGGTGCGACCATCACAAAGCAAGAGACCCGAGAACTAGAAAGGCGAGGCTCACCACCCATTTATCCCTCCGCCTTTCAATTAGCTGCACATGTGTTTATCGGCAAGGTTGGCACAATTAACTAACTTAGTGGCCCATAGTGAGCTCTGGGGCAGTACTCACTGAGGAGTCCCACTTGCAGAAA